ACTCCGTCGCCCAGGCTGAAGTGCAGTGGCACACTCACGGCCACCCCAGCATCTACCCGCTGGGCTCCGGCGATCCTTCCGCCTCAGCCTTCCAAGTAGCCGGAACTACAGGTGTGCGCTACCACACCCAGCTAATTTTTGATGTATTGTAGAGATGAGTTCTCGCCAAGTTTCCTGGGCTGTGTTCTCAAACCCACAGGTTCAGACAGTCCACTCGTCTCGGCCATTGAACGCTCAGGCAAGAGAGTATGATCTTGCCAAATTTGGGTTTTACAATGCTCATTCAGGAGATTAGGTCAGAGGAGGGAACTTAGTAAGAGTACAGAAGTTATGGCAAGGCAAGATTGATTTCCAGAACGTTGTTTAACATGGATTAGACACACACATATATACATACTCTCAATAGCTAATCATTGGACGAAACTCAAAAGACCGCCTCATATTGGAAAGGCCAATCTTGGCCTACTGTTTGTGTTGTTTTCTTAGGATTTCATCAACCCAGTGATGCAAAAATCCATCCTCCTACATTCCCCTCTCTTTTTTGTGATTCAAAATTTGCTCCCTGCCTCTGAGTGGATCTTCTGTCCCCTGAACCATCATAAGGGCTAAAGTTTCAAGGTTCTAGGCACTAAAGAGCAGAAAACCAAAATTCTGGACTTAAAAGCCCTGCATCTTTAGAAGTATAAATTAAGAATCATAGCGATTTCTACAGAGTGGCCATAGTCTATGAAAAGAAAAGGTGCTAAAATAAGTGGCACAAAAAACTGTGGAGACTAAGAAAACTAATCTGCCTTTTCCAGATTCTGCCTGTTCATAACCAAGTCACTGCGAATAATCCTTTTCCTTCTCTAGGGCACAGCTGGTAAGAATTAGAACACTGTGTGAGAAGTTAATAAGACTCACAATTTACAGAGCACCCACTAGGGGCTATTTTATGTTCATTATCCCTACTCCTCACGACAAATTAAATATTGTGACCCCATTTCAAAGATAAGGGGACTGGACTGGGGTTCGACAACTTGTCCAGAATAAGTCCATGATCTTTTCTCCACACCAGCAACTCAGATCAGGGAATACTCTTGACAATTATTAAAATGAACTTCCTTCCTTCCCTCCCTCCATTGACCCCTCATGTCATTTCTGAACAATAACTAATATTTTCTTTGCTGGATGCTGGTCTCCTCCCCACTCTGGCTAGTCAACAGAACCAAGGCCTTCTCAGAGAATAGGGAAATTCTCTGTATGCTCACCGGGCCCAGCACATGTCCCTTGCTTTATTTGTTTTCCTCTGGATCATGCATATTTATTAATATTTCTCCTGCATGTCTAGAGTCTTTAACTGGTTGTGGTGACTGTTGTCTTGCATCCATCCAGGATACTGTGGAACAGTCACACTCCTGGAGAATACTCTGTTCTGGTTTTCAAAGCACAGTCTCTGTCAATTTGTCATCTCTACCATGAGGAAGAGCAAAAAGAGCAAGAACTTTAGAACAAGACACTCCTAGGTTCAACTCACAAGGCCAGTATTTACCTGCTAGGTGACCTTAGGCAAGACACCTTAATCCTTTAAGCTCCAATCTCTCGTGTAAAAAATAGGCTTAATATTACTTATCTTGTAGTAATGCTGTAAGAATTTAAATATATATATAATATATATTATATATATATATGTCCCCCTATCAAATCTAAGAGGCTCTCAATAAATCAAAGCTCCTTTTGTGACAGAAGAACTTCTAAAGTGGAAAGTCTTCATCTGGCCCATCCCAGAGAGGCTGGCAGGTGTCTGAGGGAACAGCATGGTGCCTGAAGAGTCATGGCCAGCTTGTCCCCAGGGAGCAGGCCAAGGCTTTGGGTGAGGATTTCACTGATGATCCAGCCTGCAAGGGGGCTAATGACACCGGTCAGACCTCTAGGGTAGGTCACCATTCTGTAAGAGCCACATGTCTAGCACCTTCTTGGCTCAAAAAAAGGGATCAACATGACCACAGAACAGATCCCCAAAGGGACTTGAGCACTGTCACTCTTTCCTGGGACCCCCAACATGCTACCATCTCCTGCCACTGTGGAGATACCAGTGCAACATGTCTCCTGTGTAACCAGTCACAAAACTGGGAATACTGCAGTTAAAAAAACCCAGAAGCCTGGTTTGGAGGATTTTATTGATCCTTCAGGAAGTATGTTGATGGCTAGGCTAGTGCTACCTTCATGCTCTGTGATAGCCCTCCAGCGCTCTGGCATCTGGACCAGGGTACTAATTGGAGATGCAGCACATTCCTTCCCTGGTCCTCTCTCCAGGTGGCCACAGTGGTACCATGCCCTCTGACTGCCATGGGCTGCTCCTGGTCCATCCCTCTAGGAGAACCTCTTGATTTCCTTTTCAGCCCTCATGCAAAGCTCAGAGACCAGCCTCCTCTGCAGTTCTTATCATGTACCTCATGATTTTCATGTGCTAGACCCTGCAGTGATGCTAGACCCTGCAGTGATGCTAAGAATTAATCAGTAGCCACTTCCCTTGAGGTGCTCACGGCTGAAAGATGCAGACAGACAGACAGACAGCAACAGCACTACAAGACTCCACTACAGGAAGGATGGTGTGGGAGGTGGGGAAGAGGGGCAGAAAAACGTTTTAAAATAATAAATGGTATTTTTAGAAGAATGACCTTGAGTATCCTCAAATCTAAAATGCATGACTTGGGAAACACCTTAGGAAACTCATGACTCACCAGCGTGAGGCAGTTCCAGGGCTAAGCACCCTATGTTGATGAGGCATTCCTGACAAGAGAGACACCAACTCAGAGACAGACTGCAGTATCAACCACATGTAAGCCTGGGTGTTCCAGGATCTAGCACCAGCAAGTGGCACTTGTGGCCAGATGTCAAAGCTCAGAGAGAGCCCACTTCCTCAGGCATGGAAAGACAGGAGGGGGTTGGATCACAGGAAGAGAGGAAGAGTAAAGACACCCAAACAAAGATTCAGTGCAGGTATCATTACAATAGAGAGAATCATTGCCAAAGCTGTCGTAAATTGAATACCTTGTTAGAAACTGCATTATCTCATATAAGCCCCACACAGGTAGATGTTAATGCCCCCACTATTTAAATGAGGACATGAAGTTTAGAAAGGGAAGGTAAGCAGTCCAAAGTTGTACTTTGTAGTTAGTACCAGAACTGGAAACATGACAGTCCACAAAGCCCATGGTCTTTCACACACACCACGTGGCCTTGGCAAAGTGAGAGTCAGGCCTGGGAAGAGTTGAATTCTTCCAGATGGGCTAAGCTATTACAGTAGCAGATGATTCCAGAAATTCAACAGCTTAACACTTACAAGTTCATTTTTTTCCTTACCCTCAGTCAGGTGGGATGGGTTTTCTACCTAGAATGCAGGTTACTGAAGTAGAGGAAAAAGAGTCCGGAGCATACCACAGGGTGTTTCACTACCTCAGCCCAGAGTTGCCTCGCATCACTTCCTCTCTGGTTTCATTGGCCAGAGGTAGTCACGTGCCCCTGCCCACATGTAGCACGAGGCGGGTGGGAAGTGTAGCCTCTACGATGCCCAGAAAGGAAAGGAAAACAGGGTTTGTGGGATATTGATAATGACTCCCACAGGACTCGACTGAAAAGACAAAGGACAGAAAAGCAAGAGTCCCTTTGGGGAGTGACAGGAGATGATCCTGAGTAAAATGTAGACCTGAAGCCATTTACTCATTCATCTAACATGGGCTTCTAACACAGTAAGGTTAGAAGCAGTCTGAGATTCAGGGATAAAGTCAGGGTCCTTGTGCTCATGAGCTCCTGACCACTGTACCAAAGGTATGGTAGTATCATTTTGTAAGTGCTACAGGAGAAAGGTGCCCAAAACCCAGTGGGGACCAAGCTAGGAAGCTTCAAGGAGTAGGTAATGATAAAATACTCACATGAGGTTGAAGAAGACAAATATTGAGCTATCAGTTGGCTAAGACACCATGCAAGGGACTTAGGTGGTGATTGTCATCAATAGTGCTCATGAGACAGGCAACCACTTCCGGTTAGAGTCCAGACACAAAACAGGCACCTTTAGAAAGACATTTAAGCCAGATCAGGGACAAGTTGATATAGATAGATTTTTTTTAATTAAACCTATGAAAAGATACACTCAGTCTCCTTCATGGCAAGAAAAGTACACATTAAAACTACACTAAGATGGAATTTATCACTTATCAGATTGGCAAAATTTCTAGTCTGACAGGATACTGTGCTTTTGAAGTACTGAGAGAAAAGGCACTTTTATACACTGTTGGAAGGAGTATATATTGATATTATCTTAGCAATGGGGAATGTTTCAACATTTATTAAAGTTAAAAGTACATATACTCTTTGACCTGGCAATTTCACTTACAGGGATTTATCCTAACAAAAATTTGCACATTTAACAAAATGTTATGTGTATAAGACTATTCGTTCTAGCATACTCGGTAAAAATAAGAAATACCCCAAATGTCCATATTAGAAGACTGGTTTTAAAAATTGCAGTTTATCTATAAATGAAATACTATGCAGCTACTAAAAAGAATGAACTCTTAGACAATGTGGCATAAAAAAGAGCGAGGAAGCTTGTCTTGTACTTACATAGAAAGATCTCCAAGTATTAGTCAAGTTTTTTTAAAAAAGAAAAGCGAGATACATTATGTATTGAGATAACTTTGGTGTAAGAAAGAAGAAAAATGGAAATCTGTATCCACAGATATATGTCTCAGAATGCTTAAGTATAACTGTCAGGATGGGCTAGATTATGCTACAGTGACAAGCGATTTAACATCTCAATGGCTTAAACAACAAATTCTATTGATTGTTCATGCTTCATTCCATTACAGACAGACTGCAGCTCTGATCCATACCACCCTCACTGTGAAAACCAGGCTGGTAGGGCAACCTCTAGGGGAATTTTGCCAGTTTCATGGCAGAGAGAAAGTAGGATGACAAACCATGAACTGGTTATTAAATCTTCCATATGGGTGCCAACCAGACAATATTTCTGCCCACATTTCATTGAACAAGCAAGTCACATGACCACTATTGAGTACAACAAGGCAAAACTGTCTACCCTGCAAGGAAGGTATCATAAGTCATAGGGTCAAGCCTGTTGACAATGAGACAGGTATATGTAAGCCTCCCCTGGGAGGAGAAGCAATTAATTATGAACGGTAATGCAACTTGCCACTAAGAAATTAATGTAATAGTGATTACTTGTGGGATGGGACTGTGGAAACTAGATGAATGGGAGATAGGACTAAGATGGACACTTTTCACTTAGCACATATATACATTTAAACCATATAAATATATTATCTTTTCAAGAGAGTAAATAATGTTTAAGTCAGGTAGTTATTTAAAAATATACTCATCTCTCCCTTTTCCGTGCCATGAGCATTCACTTCATAACCTGAATCCACAGATATGTTCCTGACATCTTATTGATCACTCTTCCGAATAATTCTTGCTCAGAAGTATGTCAAAGTCAGTAACTCAGAGCAGTACGAAGGCAGTTCTCCCTGTTCCAGTCAGAGAAGAGTAACTGCCGAGGGACACAGGGAGGGCCAGAGTCTGCTCAAGCACCCAAGTGACTGCATCAGGGACATCTGGGCCTTTGCCGGTTTGGGACACCAGGGACTCAGGATGGAATGGGTAGATTACAAACTCAGGGCCACTGGCAGGTGTATACACAGCAAGTGAGTAAAACTCACGGGAAACCAGAGTGTGGCACCAGGAAAGCAAGATAAAGAATTAGATCTGGGAGAAAAATAAAACCATGAACTGCAAAATGAGCTGTAAGGTTGGAAGCTGAGAATATGGGGCATGGGTCAGGAAATACAGTGCAGGCTGGGAGCAGTTCCAGGCCAAAGACAAGCATGGTCAAAGGGGTTTATGCTCAAGTTCTGAGCTTTTGGCTGAGGGGTGTGGGTAGTCCAAGGGCTGAAAGTGGCTGACCCAGACCACCCAAGTTAGCATGGAATGTGGGCTGCCCCTCAACAAGGCTGGGCTGCAAGACCACTGTGTCAGGGCTTTCAGAACTCAATCCTATGGCTCATGCCAATATCACTGGGTGTAATCCCTGGAAGACCTCATGGGGAGGGCCCTGGAGCCTCCCAAACAGTAGCAGGGATTCCTTAAGAAGTCATTTGTGCATGCAACTGCTTCCCTAGCAGATACTCTGGAGGTGACTGTGGTGGCATTTGAGTCCTTTCATGGACACAAGAAAGTGCTTCCACAGGACTGTGTACATTGCTGACCGTTTTCTCCCGTGAACCCCATTCTGTCTTCCAGTATCACTTCAACCCCTCGCAGTCCATCCTGGTGATGGAAAGTGATGACATCGGAAACATTAACCGCGCCCTCCAGAGGGTCTCCTACATCAACTCCAGGCAGTTTCCAACCGCGGGTGTGCGGCGCCTCAAAGTATCCTCCAAAGTGCAGTGAGTGGCCACTGGGCAGCCTGGGGCCAACTGAGACAGCAGGGTTGGTCCCTTGGGAATGTTCCTTTGCAAAGCAAGATTTGCCTTTTTTTTCAGTTGTCCTCAACTTCTGCTATCCCGATGAGGATGCCTTAATGGATCTGTGTTCCTCTTTGTTAATTTTTTAAAAAATTTAGATTCAAGAGGTGCATATGCATGCGTTACGTAAGTATATTGTGTGATGGTGAGGTTTGGGCTTCTCCCATCACCCAAATAGTGATCATGGTACCCAGTAGGTGGTTTTTCAACCTTTTCCCCTTTCAGAGTTCCCAGTGTCTGTTTTTGTTGTTGTTTTCATCTTAAGCAAAATGTTCTGTTTCTCCAATAGAAAACCAGTTTGAGTTTTGCCAACTCAAATCCATTTTTCTGTTTTATTCTGTATCTTGTCCGGTACCTGGAAAGTACTGCTTCCTATAAATTCTCAGAGAGCTGGGTTAGAAGTGGTCTGATTTAAGGGCATGATACCTGATACATAGTAGGTGCTTGACAAATGTTTATTAAATTGAATTAAGTTAACCAGTGCAGTTTTGTGGAGCTCCTAAATACCATAGGTATGCCAGAGAAAAAGATTCTTGTTCTTAGAGGTCAGAGTTCAATTCATGAGATGAGATTATTACTGAAGCCTTTGGATAACTCATGCACTGGCCTATCGAATCACTTCTCAGCAACAATGGCTACCTAGGAGGGCTGCTACGAGGAGGATCCCAGAAAAACTCCTGAAAAGTGAAAATGGAGTCATGTGGCAGCTAGAACCAAGAGAAGGACTCAAAAAGAGAGGAACAAGGGGTGGAAAAATGAATCTGCTGGCTGTCACATTGCTGAGGCCTGGATAACATGCACAGGTGCCAGGATAATGTGCACAGGTGGCAGTTACACATAGTAATTCCGGGACAGTGAAGGGAGTGTGCCACCCTTGGAAGCCTAGGGCTAGGGAGAGGGTACCTCCAAGTCAACTCCACAGTAGAATGAAGATGGAGAGTAGAGAGAAACCAGACTGGTTGGTACCTAGCTCTGAGTGCAGGTTTCTGCAAAGTGAAGAGGGGAGGGGAGCACCCTGGGTTGACATGGCAGAGGGAAAACAAAACTGAGAGCAGGAGCACACCCTAACTTTCACATTCCACTCACCCCATAGAAAAGCACAGAGTGGCTCAGTATGGGATCTACTCAGAATAGCCTCCCTCAGGAACTTTCACAAGACATGCAAGGTGACGGCTGCCCCCAGTCAGAGCCCACCCAGCATTTCCAGAGCATCTGTCTGGCCCTAAGGACCCCCATTTGAGCCTAGATGACCAGTAGAGAGTGCCAGTGCCATGCATGCCCCAATGAGGTCTGATGAGAGGGCCTGATCAACTAACATTTACTGCTGAAACCACGATGCAGGCTCTGGTCAGCTTTGTAACACATAATCTTCATTTAATCCTTACTACTGTAGGGCAGTTGTGGTTATCCCCATGGGATAGATAAACTGAGGTTCATTGGAGTTCCGTGCCTTGTCCACAGTCACCCAGCCCAGGAGTGGCAGAGCCAGGCTGTGGATGTCTTAGGACTTGTTCGTGCTATCACAACATTTCTGCCTCCCAGATATTTGTGTGGCAGGATGTCAGGAAAAAAGAAGGTGATCACAACCACACTGTGCTCCGACACTGCGAAAAGGCACACCTGTGTGATGTCCTCTTGAAGACATAACATATATGCTGAGGCAGGATAGTGTAGCCCTAGGGTCTCAATTAGTAAGACGGCTATAACCAGCAAGTTAGACAACAATTTGCTTACCAAGTACTAATGCACATAACAAGCAGTTGCTATCTAATTAACATGGCCATTGATTACTTTGTTAAAGGATAATGAAAAGTTTAATGGTTACTTGATGCTCGAATACAAAATTCCCACTTCTCCCAAGAGTCTATCTTTTAAGTCTTTAGATCACGAGTAATTTTGATTAAAATGTGGCTTTAAATCTGAAAGTCTACTGACGTTCTCAGAGACTCTTAGGCAGTCAGGATGCCTTGTTAAGGGCTGGAGGTGGCAATCCCTGGTCCATGGCTGTATGATGGATGGTGTCATCATTTGTCCATCAGTGCCATGACCATGGCTGTCTTCCCAGGTGCTTTGGAGAAGATGTGTGCATCAGCATCCCCGAGGTCGACGCCTATGTGATGGTCCTACAAGCCATCGAGCCCCAGATCACCCTTCGGGGCACAGACCACTTCTGGAGACCTGCTGCCCAGTTTGAAAGTGCCCAGGGAGTGGTCCTCTTCCCGGACATCAAGATCGTGAGCACCTTCGCCAAAGCTGAGGCCCCTGGAGACGTGAAAACCACAGGTACAGGTGGGGAAAGTGGGTCTTAATTTTTACAGTCACATAAAATTATACATCAAGACAAAAGCATTGTTCACCATGACAGGGTAATGTATAATAGCCAAACAAATGAAGCTGGAAAACAACCCAAATGAACAGGAGGGGCAGATGGGTGTTTTATCAAAGATAGTATATTCATGTAAGTGATATTAAGGTTGGAAGGAAAGCATTTGTGCCAAATGGTAAGTGAAAAAAAAAAAACAAGATGCAAAATTACATCGTACAGTACCTACACACAGAAGGATTTCAACTCAAAGGGAAAAAAAAAACCCCGACATGGAAAAATGCCAAGGACACACACCTCATGCTAACAGTGATATTCTCTGAGAAGCATGATGAGAGCCAATTTGTTTCTACTTCCCTTCCCTTTTCTGCAATTGCAAAAATTTTCTACATTGGGCATGTGTTATTCTGATAATCAGAAGAAAAGCTAAAGATGCACAAAGAAAAAAATATAGCTCCATCTTAATACAGACACACTAAAAGTTGGGTCTCATTCAGCAGCCTTACTCTACGCTCTCTGGAAACTTTCAAGTTGTTATTTCCAACAGTTTCACTACTGGGAAGATTTCTTCGGTGAAAGCCGAGTCATTTGAATTACCTACTGGGGAGAAACACGTAGTTGCCCTGGAAGCTGGAGCATATGCTGGGGGTGTCGGGGTTGGGGGGAGAAACAGGGAGAGGAAGAGGGAAGAAGAGAGGGAGGAAGGACTCAGAGGAGCCCACGTCTATAGGAGAAATATCCTTTTGAGAACTGTCCTTTGCTGCCTCTTCCAAGAGAATACTTTCAGCTCTCCCCTCCCCTTCCAAAAGCTGCCACTAATGATGTGCTGGTGCTGCCAGGCCTGAGTCCCTGAAGAGCTGCTTCTATAATAATCCTAATTAACTATTGCCTTAAACCACCCTGGTCCCTAGCGAATGGGGTGCCCGAGAGGCAATCCCTCTTAGCTTAAAAATAGATGGCGTTTTACCACCTGTCCAGGAAGGGCAGTTTCCTAGTTACAGGCTGAAGTGCACTGGGCTTTGTGATCTTCCCTCTTCCCCTGTTCTCATCTGTGGCTGAAATCAGACAAGGAAAAGAAAAAGGAGGAGGGGGCCTCTGACCTCAGTGGTGGCAGGCTGTGACCAGGAGCGTCTGGATTTGCTGCTGTGTCTGACACCAGCATACAGGCAGTGCCGGGAAAAGCAATGATCTGGGCCCATGTTTCACCTCTGTTTATGAGAGGAGCATGCAGAGCACATAGCAAGTGCCCAAGGGCTATTATTAGTGCTTTTAAATTTTTACTTTTATTATTGTTAGGAGAGTCATTATTGTGGGTGTCTTAAACAAGCAGGGTAATAGCATTTGCATTATCTTCTGTCTCCAATGATTCGCTCCTTATGCTGTCTCAGTCCCAAAGATAAGAGATTCCCATAGCGCGCGCGCACACACACACACACACACACACACACACACACACACCTCACACCTCAGTGCTAGTTCACACCTTCGCCCTGTTCTCTATATGGAAGGGCCCTTCCCCTCCCCACCCCGATTGCTGGCAAACATTTCTAACTTCGACACCTGCTCCAGAGCTCCATCGCCCTGACACTCCTGACTGCTGAAGCTGCCCTCAAGCACACTTTTTTTTTGCTTAGTGGTGATTATCTGTTTATTAAACCAGAGTAGGAGATCCCCACCATGGTCAATTTGCCTCTGGGTCTCTGAACCCAGCACGGTTCCTTCAACACAGTGGGAATCAAGAAAAGTGCAGATGGCTGGGTGCAATAGCTCACATCTATAATCCCAGCCCTTTGAGAGGCTGAGGCAGGACCACTGCTTGAGGCCAGGAGTTCAAGACCAGCCCAGGCAACAAAGTAAGATCCTGTCTCTACAAATTAGCCAGGGTTGGTGGCACGTACCTCTAGTAATAGCTACTTTGGAGGCTGAGGCAGGAGGATCCCTTGAGTCCAGGCGTTTAAGACTGCAGCAAGCTATGATCACACCACTGTACTCCAGCCTGGGCAACAGAGCAAGCCCCTGAATTATCATTTATTATAATATATATCTAGTGAGAGTAGAAGGTATTTTTGATGTCATTTACAAAGTAAACAAAATAATTATTTAAAATAATTCTCTTTAGAGGCCCCTTTTAAAAATTTCTATCCTAATAAATGCTGTATACTGCAGAAAATATATTTAGTCCACTTTATAAATAAGTAAATATACTTATTGAAATTATTTCCTCAAAATTTTTTAATAAAGAGGTGCAAGATCAAAACCACTTGAATCACTGGCCCAGAGATTAAGGGTTTCCAACTGTGGGATCAAAAAGACTTGGTTTATATCCTAGCTGTTCCTTTCATTTCCCCATCAGTGAGATGAGGATGACAGCCGTACTCCCTCTAATGTCTATCTCTTATGATTACATTTGCACAGTGACTGGCACATAGCATGCACTCCATAAATCTCCTCGTCATTGTAAGATGGGATTTTAATTTAGGACTGCCAAACTCTGTCCAGGATTCAATATTCAGACATTTCTTTGGGAAATCTGGAGTCATAAAATCAAGCAAGGACAAAACTTGGCTGACTGACTTGCTAATATGCTCCCCTGGGAGCATAGTCATCTCTGAATTATATTAAATTAATCAGTTTATTCATTATCAAGTATGGGTTATATTGTGTCGACGTAGTTGATTATTAATTAGTTAATTATCTGACTCCATTTGAGCCAGGTGTAGTAATAACTGATCTATGCCAGTGCCTGGGTTAGACACCAGGGAGTCCGTCATAAAAAGACAGGGCTTCTGCCCTTGGGAACCTCGAAGTCTGCTGGGGGAGACAGAGACACACACTATGGCCACATGGAGAAAGCCACTAGAGCATGGTGGAGGGTTGCTCATCTCTCCTCCAAATGGAAGCTATTGCTTACTGAGCACCTGTGATGTGCTGGACACTGTTTTCAGCCTCTCAAGACCTTTGCCCTCTTTATAATGAAGAAACTGAGTGGTAAGTAGTTTCTCCAACATATATAGCTTCTCAGCAGAGTGGGTATTCAGATTCACATCTTTTAACTAGAGTACTCATGCTCTTCCCATTCATTCATACTACCCAACCTCAGGGCTGTTTGGACATCTGACTAGTGAACATGGTATTTGGGATTTCACAGCCTCTTCTCCTGAGTCAGCCTTAACCTGGGGTGCGAAGATGATGAGCAAGGGTTGTTGTCTGAGCTATTCCTCATGCCTTTATTTCCACTTGTCTGTCTTCCCACAGCCCCCAAATCAACAGTCTTAGAAGAAATGCTTCACAACTTAGATTTCTGTGACATTTTGGTCCTCGGAGGGGACTTGGATCCAAGACAGGAATGCTTGGAGCTCAACCACAGTGAACTTCACCAACGACACCTGGATGCCACAAATTCTACCGCAGGCTACTCCATCTACGGTAAGGCCATGCTCAGCCCCCTTGGCCCCAGGGGTGTCCTCTCAGAAGGTCCTTGTCTAGGGAGTCATGAGTGAGATGGTACGTGTGGAGGTGCACAAAAGCCCTGGGGGCCAGTTGGAGAGCCTTGACCTCAGAGCATGGATTTCTAGACCCTTCTTTGGCAAATTACTCTAGCATCTTGGAGACCTGCCCCACATGCCCACTCCTGAGGAAAATTTTTGTAGGTACTAGGTGGATGCCTTCTCCTGTCATGTTGATCTCATGCAATGTTACAGCAAGGTTTGACAAATTGAGTCCAAACATTCCAGTCAGAACCCAGTCCATATGGAAAGCCCTTTGGAGTAGGGTAAATGGCTTCTTAGCACTTCCACTGTTGCATGTTTTCTGCCCAAAACATCTTGAGCTCTTACCCTTGACAAAGTTAGGAGACCCACAGTTCCAGCCTGTCTGCTCTGTCCTCTCTTCCTCCTCCTTTTCCACCTTCTGATGACAGGTGTGCTCTCTTGGCACAGGTGTGGGTTCCATGAGCCGCTATGAGCAGGTGCTGCATCACATCCGATACCGCAACTGGCGCCCGGCCTCCCTGGAGGCCCGGCGGTTCCGGATCAAGTGTTCGGAACTCAATGGGCGCTACACTAGCAACGAGTTCAACTTGGAGGTGAGTGGGCCCTGCCATTGTTAGGGAAGTCTAGGCTCTCCCATTCCCTCATTTATTCAGGAGAACAGAAGCAACTGGACCACCTGCCACTTCTGGTCCATGGCACCTCTCCCTGTTCTTCCAGATCAGTGTCCTCCATGAAGTCAGAGTCTCAGACAAGGAGCATGTCAACCACCTTATTGTGCAGCCTCCCTTCCTCCAGTCTGTCTATCATCCTGAGTCCCGGAGTAGCATCCAGCGCAGTTCAGGTAAGGCACCCGAGAGTGGGGCCCTCAGGACACCAGGTGGTCATTGTGACTCAAAACCGCCGACAGTCATGTTTCAACAGTCATGGGTGCCTAGAACTGGGGGAGGGAACGCAGCAGGGAGAAGATGTGGGCCCATCCTCGGAGGCACTCGCGGTCTCAACAGGGAGCCAGCCAAGTAAACAAGAAGTTACAATACACAATACACAATACACACAACACATAATAACAGAGGCTGGTACAAAGGATTGAGAAAAATTTTGCTAGTCCTTTCAGACCCAATTCAAGGTCATGCCCTGTATGAAGCTTTCCCTGAACCCCTCACAGATACTCACACACATGTTGCAAAGTCTTCTGCCCATTCTTCTGTTTGAGCATTTGACATATTGTATTACTACCTGGTGGGCACTTCTGTCTGTTCCTACTAAACTCCACAGTGCCTGGTTCTGTGGGAGCTTCCTAATCATTTGAGGGGAAAAGTCAGGAGTAGAAGAGAACTTGCATTTATTGAGCAGCTATACTGTGCCAATGTGGAAACTCACAGAGATCATTTCATTTATGCCTCATGATTATCCATGGGATAGGAAGTATGAAGTTCGTTATAAAGGTGATGAGAGTAAAGCCCAGGGTTCTGCAGCTGGGAAGTGGTAGGGCAGCTTCGAACTGTGCCTGGATGTTTTGTTCATGCACCATCATGAGAATGAGCCTGCCCTTTGTTCACCATGTCATGTGTATTCCTTCCCTGTCCCAGTGGTCCCAAGCATCGCCACGGTGGTCATCATTATCTCCGTGTGCATGCTCGTGTTTGTTGTGGCCATGGGCGTATACCGGGTACGGATTACCCATCAGCACTTCATCCAGGAGACTGAGACTGCCAAGGAGGCTGAAATGGATTGGGACGACTCGGCGCTGACTATCACAGTCAACCCCATGGAGGTGATTCTCATGTGGGGGAATCGGGGGGCACTTCTCCCTCCACCCAGCTCAACCCTCCTGTGCTTACACCTGGCCCACAGCCCCTCCTGGAAGCCCTGTGCCCACTAGTCCAGCCCCACTTGTTCTTCCCATCTCTGAGCTGAGCAGACCATACTTTCCCACCAACTACATTTCTCTGATGGAAAATGTATTAATTTCTCTCCCCACAATCAGAACCAGAAATTTCTCAAAGTAGGCAACCATGTGGTCTCTATGCCTTGCCTCCCCTGTAGTTTCTACCTCAGAGCTGACTAACACTTAGGGACTCAGTATTGAATATTTGGTTAACAGTGCAAATCAGATGGCTTTGCTCCATAGTGCCTGAAGAGTTCACTTAAAGGCCCAGAATAGCTGAAAACAAAAATATTGGTGAGGAACAGGTGGCTCATGCCTATAATTCTAGCACTTTGGGAGGCCAGGAGTTCAAGACCATCCTGGGCAACATAGCAAGACCTCATCTCTACAAAAAGATTTTAAAAAGTTAGCCAGGTGTAGTAGCATATGCTTGTAGTCCCAAATACTCAGAAGGCTGGGGTGGGAAGATCCCTTGAGCCCAGGAGTCCGAGGCTACGGTGAGCCATGAACATGTCACTGCACTCCAGCCTGGACAACAGAGTGAGACCCCAACTCAAAAAATATATATCAGTAATGCTTGCCATTTCTTGAGCCCCCATTTTGCCAGACACTCTATGGAGTGCTCTGTATATACCATACCACTTAATCTTCCAACAACCTGTGAAGTAGAAAGTCATCATCCTCATTTACCAGGGTGGAAACCAACTGAGACAGAAGTAAGCTACTCAAATTCACATGGCCAGTATTCAGATTCAAAACTGTCTGATTCTACAACTCAAATCTTGTCTGTCAGCCACCAGTGCCCAGAATCCACCATGTTCAGTGCCCAAAGCCCCTGCTGTGGGCTTGTGAATAGCAAAGGAAGCCCGCCACATCAATCCCTTGGCCCATGAGTGCTGGGAAGACACAGGCTCAGGAAAGCAAGGGAAGATCAGGCAGAGCACTGGGAAATAACCAAGATGATCATCACAGCCTGATCACCAGGTACCCCCTCAGCTGGTTGCACACCCCACTTTCAAAGCCAGTATCCCCATGTGGCTCAGTTTCTGCAGCATGCACTGTAGGCACAGTGCTGAGCTTGGTGCTGTGGGCACTCCAGCACTTCCACCTCAAAGACCTGAGCATGAGGGTGGAAAATGAAACCACTATAACTGGAGCAGTCTGAGAACCACCCAAGAGTGTGCCTGACAAGGGCCAATCTGGTGATCAGCAGTCGGTGAATCTTTGGTAGAAAGAGCCTTTGGGGCTGTGGTATTCAGAGAAGATTCCTTGGAGAAGGTTGGCCTGAGAGAGGCCTTGAAGAGTGGATAGGATTGGTGGAAGAGAAGACATTCTAAAGAGGGAGGTAGCCAAGGAAGTAGACATATATTTTATGGCCTAGTGTACCTGTTCAGAACCTAAATTCAGAAATAAGATGTTGCTGGAATGACCAAAAAGCTGAAGGGAGGGAGAGTAGAACTGAAAAAGGATGAGATACAATTTGAGGACACAAGTCAGGGAATAAGGAGCAGGCATGGAATGAGGACCGTGAACTTTGTCATTTCTAAAGGAATATTTTTGAGGGGCAGCACACCCAAGTTTTGGTGTAGAAGACCTTCTGCTCCCAGGGACATTGTATTCCCACTTGGAAAAGGGGCACAAGATTAAATGTCATCCTCTCACTGAGAAGAAATACTTGAGCTTGGAAAGTTCCATTTAGATGGGCTCCAGAAATTCCTGGAAACAAGCCTTGGGCCAAAACGTTCAGTAAATGATGGATGATGACATGTCCATCCCACCATTTGTACTAACAGTTTACCTTGAGTTCATGTCTTGGATCTTGCTGCTATGTCAGGCCTTTGTCTTGAACCTTCTATCTTCCCTTTCACCAAAAGACCTCTCTTCCAGAAAGTCTTCCTCCAGGCCCAAGGGTTTAGCAGTAAGAGAAGAAATCCTAAGGGGGTTCAAATGTTTCCTTAATGGACAAAGAAACCTAGGCTCCACAGTGGCCTCTGCTTTGCCCCTGATAAGTATTTCCCCTCTCTCCCTGACATCCAGAAACATGAAGAACCAGGGCGTGGGGAAGATGAGACTGAGGGAGAGGAGGAGGAGGAAGAAGCAGAAGAAGACATGAGCTCCAGCAGCAGCGGCTCCGATGACAGTGAAGAGGAGGAAGAGGAAGGGCCGGGCAGAGGCAGACATGGGCAAAGTGGAGCCAGGCAAGCCCAGCTGGAGTGGGATGACTCCACCCTCCCCTACTAGTGCCCGGAGGTCTGCTGCCCAACCCACGTGTCCCTTTTGTAAACCCCGACCTGATGTATGCCCATGTCTGTCACCTTGCCTCTGATTTCTGTGACAAGTCTGGGAAGGCCTTATCCAGCTTCCTGGAGCTTACCCTTTATGTCTCGGGCACTCCCTGCATCCAAGTCATGGGGTAGATCCAAGAAGCCCAGCTTGGTCATCAGTGGGGACTTCAGGGCAGATTTTTTCCTGTACCCCCCACTTCTGTCCTGGGTTCCCCAGCATCCTGTCCACCCATCTGCAGAGATTGTCTTTGCTCTTTTCTGAAGGGGAGAAGATCTGCCTTTGTGTTACTCACTTCCCCAGGCTCAGTGTCCCCAAGGCCCTAGAGTTCCAACTCACTGTGTGTCTCTTCCACGCAGACCAGTAGGCCCTCCTTTTGCTGACTCCAGATTGCTTTATACAGGGAGGGCGATTGAGCTTCACACACCTAAGGTCTTAGTGCTTAACACTTTAAAGAAAATCCTTGTTGAGAATGAATCACATTTATAGGGAAAGGTTCTCTCTCTCTCTCTCTCTCTCTCTCTCTCTCTCTCTGTCTTTCTATCTCTAATCTCCCCATCTTGGAGGGTCTTTCCTTTTCCTTCTTTCTGAGGCCACGTAAGCTTATATGAAAGTCAAAAACTAAGAATAGGCCCTTGGCCACAAGCAGGGCCTGGTCCCCAGCTAAAGCTACCTGAGCCTGCCTTCCTGGGCAGCCCCTGAGACCCATGTGGTTGCCCTGCCAGGGGAGCTCACCACACAGATCCACAGGACCCAGCAAGCATTCCACAGGCACTGCCCTGGCGACAGCCATGGCAAGCCTACAGCCAGGGAGCAGGAGGAAGAACTGATGAGATGACACATAGTCTTCATGGTGGGCAGGGTGGGGGTAGCTGGGCTTTCCCAGGACAGAGAGACACTGAAGTTGGTGAGGTTCTCACCACTCAGCTTCATGGTCCCTTGTCTCCTATTTTATACTATTTTCCCTTTGGAAAAAATACACCCTTCTTGGATGTATTGGAACATGTATGAACTCCACCGAGTGTAAAATGAAAGTTTGCTCATTTAATTACTAGGAATTAGAAGCATATTTGCAATAATAGCAGCTTCTTCTTCCTTCTTCTCATAAAGGAAGAATGCTTTGGGTAGAAGGCAAATATATCCACAAACCTAATTCATTTTTTCCTTCCTTCCTTCCTTCCTTCCTTCCCTCCTTCCCTCCTTCCCTCCTTCCTTCCTTCCTTCCTTCCTTTCTTTTCTTTCCTAATAAGGGAATCCTTTCCATTTCCATCCTAACACGCACACTCCATGAGAAGAATTGTTTCTATAGTAACTGGTCTGTGATCTTTTGTGCCCAAGAGAATAGCAAGCAAGAATTAGGGCTATGATAGGACTTCCATGAGGCTCTGAGAACCTGTTTGTTTGGAATGTTTGGGTCCATTTTGTCCTTGGTATATACAACCTGTCCCCATCCTCCCACTCCTTCCCAGGCCCAACCCATATTGGTTTGGCCCAGGCACAGCTCTGGTCCCTAGTCAAATGACATTCATGTTCAAAAGAAAGTTCAGATTCTCTCCGTCTATTTTTCGCATCCTCAAAACAGAGAGCTTAAGAAGGAGACTGCCGCCTGTGTCCTCTAGTCTGACTTCTACCCAGTGAGGACCCATGGCAGGCCTATGCAACCTTCTGAATCAGGAGAACTACCTTGTGCAGCTTCTTCTATTTCCTAAAGTGGTTTTTGCATCTATTCCCTCCTTTGGACCTCACAATAATCCTGTGAAGGGCATCTGTTGTTTGACCCATTTTGTGTCAAGTAAACCGGGGTTCAGTGATTCAGTGTCTTGCTCAGAATCAGAGGTAATAGACATCCACTCCTGGTCTCAGAGTCTACTTAAGTTCATATTGATGCACCTAACAGGCACTGCTGCATACCTACTATGTGCCAAGCATTCTACCAATAGCTGTGGGAAGGGGATAAATATGAATTAGATAAGCTCCTCCCCACAGATGGCTTGTTAGTTGCAGAGGGGAAATAAGCGTCCAAGAAACAATACAGGAGACAAATGGAGAGGGAGTGAGAGGAAGAGTCACAGAAGAAGAGGGACACATCCACACTCCCTCAATCAGTGTGCCTCTTTTTCTCTTCTTAGGGAAAACACTGGAAGAAGCTGGGGTTTCATACTCATTGAATGGAAATAGACATTTCTCCTGTGAATTCTCCCAACCAAATAGCCCTTTTCTACCAGGCTGTATCTGCATATCCAAAAGGGAAAATCTGTAGAATTGACTAGTCTTCAGAATACTGTTATATAAATAAAGAGGGAGTCACCATTTGGGCATTTAGGAACTATTGAATTCTCCCAAAATTATGGCAGCAGAAAGAACCCTTTATATATTTAAAGCCAATTCTTTTTAAAATTCAATTTTGGCTAGGCTCCGTGGCTCAGCCTGTAATCCTGCGCTTTGGGAGGCCAAGGTAAATGAATTGCCTGAGACCATGGGTTCAAGACCCGCGTGGGCAACTTGGCGAGACCTCATCTCTACAATAAATCAAAAAATTAACCGGGCGTGGTAGCGCGTGTCTGTAGTTCCAGCTACTTGGAAGGCTGAAATGGAAGGATCGCTAGAGCCCAGCAGGTCGAGGCTGCAGTGGCCGGGAGCAGCCACTGCACTCCAGTCTGGGCGACTGAGTGAGACTCCAACTCAAAAAACAAATAAATAAAAAATACATAAATATATAAAATTCAATTTTGATTTTAGATAGTTAAGTCTAGAGCTTATGCCATCACTTTTCTATCCGCTCAGTCTCTTTGGTTTGGTTTAGGTGGAGAAAGTATTGCTCATGCCCTCTGGCTGTCTCTGATGGCACATTCCTTATTCATGGTTGGGTGAGCTTTTTGGAGCACTGTGAAATCTTTATATGTTTTGGGGTTGGGGAGCAGGTGAAAGTGGCGCTTGGCTAGGGCAACAAAGACGAGTCATTTGAGGAGACATTTGGTGACTGGGCTCATTTGCAGAGAAACAGTGGTGACAATAGACCTAGAGCCCTTTCCCTCAATTCTTGCTTTAAGAGGTCATTTTCTTCATGTCAGCTCCAAAAATGAGATGCTTGCCTGAAACTGCAGGGTAAACAAGCATTGATCGTGTTCCCAACTCCCTCCACTCACCATGGTGGGAACAGGATGGGGGTAGTTATATAAAAGTAGCAGAAGCTTTGGGAGGTGTCCAGGTGAGCTGTGGAAATATGACTTCCAGACATTCAGACCCCAAGTAAAAGGTGTCATCAATCAGCCCAGCATTTTCCACCCTCCATATGCTGGCATCCAGGTACCAAAGCTCCCAAATGGCCCAGACACCCTGTGACCTCTCAATCAGATGTCAGCAGCCAGGCAGATACAGGCTCATATCCAGGAGAAGCCACTGACTGAATTGGCCACAGCCCAGTCCATTGCTTGTCTTGCCAAGTAGATGACCAGATTATGTTTTTCAGAACTTGAAATAGGCTGAAATCTCTCAGGTGACTCTAATGACAGGGAAGAGGAGGAAGAGGAAGAGGAGGAGAAGGAGATTGAAATGAGAAAAGTGCAGTACAGAATGAGTTGCCTCAGTGAGTAATGCATTCAACTAGTTGGTGACTTGCCTTAAAAAATACTAAAAATACATTAGAGTAGATTTAATCAAATGCTGTAAGTCTGAGCAAGGCCCAAATTAATCTAGATACCAAAAATTCCTGTGGTATCTATTTTCATTATCATTTTCTTGAATTTACTCCATCTTCCTCTCAAGGGTTTAAACCAAACACCTCTGCAATTAACAAGGGCTGCACCTGTGGACATGAACTATCCAGTGAGTGGCTTTTAATGGGAAACAATGTCCTCTATTCCTATTAGTCAGGGGTTGGCAACCTTCATCTGTAAAGAGCCAGACAGTAAATATTTGGGGCTTTGTGAGCCATATGGCTTCTGTCGCAAGTACAGTTATCCCTCCATATCTGAGGTTTTCATATCCATGGATTCAACCACCTCAAATCGAAAATATTCAGGAAAAAAATGGATAGTTACATCTAAACTGAGCATGTACAGACTTTTTTCTTGTCATTATTCCCTAAACAATATAGTATAACTACTATATACATCGTAGTTATATTGTATTAGGTATTCCAAGGCATCTAGAAATCATTTAAAGAATATGGGAAGATGTGCATAAGTTATACGCAAGTACTGCACCATTTTATTAAAAAGGACTTGAACATCCATAGATTGTGGTATTCAAGGGTGGGTCCTGGAACCAATTCCCCACAAATACCAAGGGACAGCTGTACTCAACTCTGCTAGTATAGCATGAAAATAGCCACAGACAATATGGACATGAACGAATGTTCCAACAAAACTTTATCTAGGTTCCAATAAAACTTTATTTATAAACATTGAAAAAGTAGACAAAATGAATCTGTATAATTTTCCCATGTCACCATTTAAAAAAAATCTTTTCATTTTTATTTTCAACCACTAAAAAATTATTAAAACTTTTTTTAGCCCACTTGCCATACAAAAACTAACAGCCAGCCAGATTTGACCCACGGACTATAGTTTGCCTACCCCTACCATACGTGTACAGAAAGCAGTCTTCCATTTCCCAGAAGAAAGGAAAGTGCTATGTTAGCTCTCCCACCAACTACCCAGTGGTCTCTGCCTCCAAACTGAACGGGAAAACTCCATAGTTCTTAATTAAGCTCTGTTAAAAGCCCATGTTCCAGGGGGAAAACAAAAAACAAACAAACAAAACAAAAACACTTGTTACTTATTGAATTGACAAACTGAGACAAACATTCCTCAAGAGTTGAAAGCCTTGGGTCCAGCAAGCGGCCTAATTACTGAGCACCAGTTCCACTGAGGCTGTTAACTCCCCCCGGCTTTGTGCCTTCCTGGCACAGCTCAGCCATAATGATCTCTAAGCAGTAGTGTTCATTATCTTAGACTGATTTTCATTTCAGCCTTGCTCATGCCGTGGCTCTAAAAATGACCCTAAAGACTTGTGACTGTTTGAATCAATAGCAACATAATCAGTAGAAAGCCCGACCCAGCACGCTTCAAAATTAGCAGTCTTCTTGGCTGTGCAACTCAATATTAGCAAGAAGGAAAAGAGGACTTTTCCTTAACCATTCGCTCATTTAAATAACCAAATAGTTTCTACAAAAAAGTGGGGGCAGTGGGTCTAATTATTTGAAAGAATTTGCCCGTGAAAAGCTGATGATTTTTAGGTAAGATAATTGTTAGGCCTCTGGGGATCCCTAAAGCCTCCTGCAGTGTCCTCTGGCGAGCTGTGGACGGTGCATGATTCTCTGTCTCTATCAGACACTTATTGAGGCTGACAAGCCAAAGCCCTTGGCACGATTTAATTTTCACATAACCACTTTCCATTGTCCAGCTGCCGGCAAAGGAAATGAGCAATGAAAGTTTTGAAGTCGACTCCAGCACCCTCATTTCCTGTCTTTGTTTTCTTTGCTTCATCAATTTATTCTGCATCTGCTTTGTAGATCATGCCCTATCTCGTCTTCCTTTCAATGCCAACTGGAAAAAGAGAGTAGGCTTTCCAGGGGCGGAGGATAGAAGCCAGGCTTCACTCTGTCCCAGGGAGACAAAAAGAGACAGAAGAGGTTGCCTCCACCAGCACCCCAGAAAGCGATCAGACATACCCCGTGTGCCAGCAGGAAATGGATGGGAATCTGAATTTGCAGCTCCGTTTGGTGTGATTTGGCAGATCCTCACTGAATACCTGTGATGGGCCAGGCCCTCTGCTAACCTCAGGGGAAAGAAGAATGAACAAGGCAGAGCCCTGCCCGTGAGGAGCTCCTGGCCTTGTTAGCTGCCAGGATGTCCCTTTGCAGTATTGGAGGTTGTCCACGAGCAGCCAGGACTGTTGGGGACAGAAGTTTGTGGGAGGGCAGGACCACTTGTGTTGGTAGATGGTAGGTGCAATTCTGGGGGCCCTGACATGCATTCCTGAGGAGCTCCCTAGAGAAGGGTTCAAGGTTTTCCTAAACATTCCTCGGTTTTAACCAAGCCTGACTCAGTTATCTTGCAGATGAAAGCCAGTCTCTTTACCCACTGGGCAGAAATAACATGGTTGACAGCTGAGGCTCAGGGAAACTAAACCAGAGGAAGTCCTTAAGTAGGAACAGCAGCCAGGTGGACCTGGAAAGGTAGGAGGGGTGAAGCAGGTACAGGGGCCACCCTGGGCCAAGTCCTAAAAGGCAGGAACCAGCCTTATGTGAGGCAGCTAGTGAGACCCAGTGTCAGAACCATCAGAACAGAAGAGCCAAAAAAGGCTCAACTCAGTAGCAGTGGTTCTCTGGGCCAGCAGCACCAGTATCACCTGGGAACATGTAAGAGCTGCAGATTCTCGAGGCCCACCCCAGACCTACTGAATGAGAAGCTCCCAGTGTAGGCACTCTGTGTTTTAATGAGCTTTCTGATTCTGAAGCTCACTGAGGTTTTAGAGCCTCTGGTGTAGAGGGGGAGAATGACTCAAGCTGTCATTTGCAGGAGTTGACAATTGACTCACAAGGTAAACTAATCAATCACTAGTGTAGTGAGAGAACCAAAGGGGACCACCCCATCATGCCCTCCAGGGCCTTCCAGGCCCCAGTTCACACACCCTGAAGCAATGATTTTAGGGAAGCCTGGTCCTGGTTCCAATCCCCCTCCTCTCAGGCTGACACAATTTCTGCCCATCCACCTGTTCTATCTAGAGAGAGATACAGCCCAGGAGAGGTTGTCATGAGGTCACCCAGTCCTTGGAAGGCCACCTGCCAGGTTCTTATAAGTTGAACAACCTCCTCGAGGGCCATATTTTATGGGGAAATGAGAAACTGCAGCAATGACCCTGGACGCCAGGAGAACTGCTTTCCACGCAGCCTGTATGCTAGTGCAGGGCCTGGCCGACAGCAGAGGGGATCATTTGAGGACATTGCCAGTTTACAGCAGCACTGCTTCTCTTGTAATGGGACTCGGGCGTGTAGCAACACAATTCAAGCACTAAATTGGATGAGGGATGAATGGTTTTTCTTGGAAGGGCAGTAACTCATTCTGGATGCTACTAAAAGTAGAAAACCAAAACCCAAAAACAACCCTGCAGTCTTATCTACAATCTGAATGTGTCTGGGCCCTCTAATTTCAAAGGTCTACAAAGTTGCCATACTTGGCCAATGCCCTTTCCCCCGGAGGGCCACCATTATTGATTCACAGCTTAAACTCAGTGAAGGTTCACAGACCTTTGGAAGAAACTTATTGACACTTTGTCATTTACACCTAACGGTGGTGGTGCAGAGTCTCCTCATATGAAGATGTTTAAGGTTGGGAGTCAGAGGACCAGGGCACTGGGCCTTGGGGTAGAAGGACGAGGAGGAACAGTCCAGGAAGGAGCCAAAACACATGGTCTAGGAAGACTGGCACCTACTGTTG